AGATTTTTGCGGTAGGGTTGCCTATAAGCCCCCCTCTTTTTTGTCCTCCAGTTAGAGATCCCTCTCAACCGCAACCAGAAGAGCCCCTTTATGGAACGACTATTAGTGTTCCAGATAGAGAATGTAAACCAAAAACCTTAGCTGATGATCTTTTCTTGATCTCTGCTAATACAATTGAGTCACTAGGGGCACTGAAGGCAATATTGATTGAGTACTCACTGTTGTCGAAGGCCCTAGTGAAGTGGGGAAAGTCCACCTTTCTCCTCCCGGAGGGATTCAATTTGCAGGTGGAGTGGGGTATGCAGTGGGTAGATTCGGAGCCAGGGGAGTGATTCTTGGGGGTGATGGTGAGCACTAAACTCATGAGCTTGACACAAGGCCTAATTTTGCAACAAAGAATCTCAGCCAGACAGAGAGTGTGGGGTTTCGCGTGACATCTCTCCTTGTATGGTCGGGCCTTGGTGATCAATATGACTCTATTCTCACTTTTATGGTTTGTCGGAACAGTAAGAGAATTGGCTGCAGCGGTAGTCTCAGAGATTACAAGGCTTGTTGCAAGGTTCCTATGGAAACCTCGAGCATTATCGGAGGAAGGCTTCATGGTTAAAGTAGCCTGGAAGTTGGTGCCCGTCCCTAAGGAACATGGGGGTTTTGGGTTAATTGACCCTCTTTAGAAAAACCAAGCCCAGCTGTGACAATGATTACAAAAGTAGTTATGGCAGACACAAAAGAATACTGGATTTTGCTAACCGAAAAACTGCTGATGAGAGAACGACAGCTAAGTAGGCAAAAAAATGTATGGTTGCGCTTCTTTGTGAACTCCTTACCACGCGTGGTTAACGGGGACCCCCAGTCTCAGCTCCTAACAAAGGTTGAAACTCTGATCAAAGTTTTGGGAAGGTGTCAGGAAGGCATGGCTAAAACTGCCCCTAATATTTGTGTTCCTCCCTCCACAACAGAGTAGGTTTTACAACAATGTATATTTGAGAACCCCTCAATTGTAAATGAAGAAGGGATCCCCTTCTCGACAGGCTCAAAACCAGCTACTTTGGGAGAGTCGGGATACAGAGGGGTGTTTCGACGATTGCAGACCTGTGGTTGGCCACCCAGGGGGGATGAAAACCATTCAGGGAACTCCAACCCAAGCTACAAGGCCTCTGACACTCTGAAGAGCATTGGGAAGCCATGCTGCGAGCAATTCCGGACCATTTGAAAGCCCTATTGGGCCCTCAGGGATTAGATCCAGTGGGAACATGGTACGTTCCGGGGCAGGGGGAAGAACTCTGAAGGAGAGGCAACCCTCTAGAGAGTTTCGAGCTTGACTCGGAGTGGGTTCAAAGAAGTGCAGAGGTGGACGACGTTAAGACACTCAGCAGAGATGGCTTTGGCAGGTGAGGAAGTGGTAAGACAATGGGCTAACCCCCCACCAGGCTAGAGTGGTCCAGACCTTCACTCGCAAGGGGAGATTGATAGCCACAACATGGGTGGGTAAGGTGTCACTAAAGAGGTAGCAATCGACCCATGTGCCTGGTATTGGAAAGGGGGGAGAGGGACCTTAGCCCACCATCAGAGGTTGGACCATCAAACATCACAGTACGAGTCTTACAGACTATCAGAAAGGAGGACCAGGAGCCCGACAAGCAATCTCCAGATGGAATGCAGTTATGTTGGAAGACCTACAAGGTAGTGAAGGATAATTTTTTAAACTGTGGGGCATCCTACGCACTATCCCTGATCTTAAGCAAGCAAGTTTACTGTGGATGCTGTCGTTGTTGGTGAACCCTCTGCAGTCTGGCTATGCAGCAGGAGCACGGAGATGTCGCTGAGGTGCTCATGTTGCACTTGGCCTTTTGAATCCACCAAGCATCTATGGTGGGATTGCCCGACATCAAGGAGAGTGTGGAGATGGTGCCTGTCATCAAGGAGTGTGGAGATGGCGGGAAGGAATAGACTGGAATGAGCGATGGGTTCTTCTGGGCTTCGTGAAGGAGGACCAAATTGGGAAGAAAGGCTGGCCTTACGTGGCCCAGGTAGCGAGAGCGGTTATCTGCGCAGTAATCTGGGCAAACCGAAATCCCTCCCAGTTTGAGGGACGACCCTATCCAAACGTGCAAACTAAGACTGCTTTAGAGAGAAGCCAGCGAAGAGCAAACTGGGCGGATTGGTGAAGGCAGGCTAAATGCGGTAGGGCCCCGAGGCGGCAGCTAGGGTGGTTCCTGCACACCTATGCGAGGGGGAATAAGTTGGCATGCGTCCACTCTACAAGGGGTCTGGTTGTCTCGAAGTGGTTAAGTAGTTAGGAAGGGGGGGAATCTCAACAGTTGAGAGGATACATGTAGGGGTAGGTTTCCGAAGCGGGACCAGAGCACCTTGGTCAGTAGGGGGAGGCGAGAGAGTGCTATAGAAGGAACCAGGGAATTCAGTATATAGGGCCGCGGTAGGCCATCTGGGAGAGTGACAACAAATAAGGAATATGGGTTCCACTGGGTCGTATATACCCGGTCGTCGGATTAGGCAGTAGGATAGATAGTAGGGAAGTAAAATTTTATTGGTAGTAACAAGGGAAACAAAGGAGGATCCAAACATTAGGACTAGTTTTTAAGATTTGAGGTCTACAGGACCGGGTGAAATTCATGGGCAATTTGTTTTTGATGAGTGAATTTACATCTGGCTCCGCCGGTGCAACAAGCTAAACTGGTTCTTGATTTCCTTGCAATATATGAGGTGAATATTTGTCAAAAAAAAAAAAAGGGAAATTTGTTTGGCGCCCTTGTAATTTCCACTATTTCGCATTGCGCCCCTCCTACGGCCTATTTACCCTGTTGCGCCCCTCTGACGCTATTCAAATTTCCCATAAAACCCCAATGCCGGTTGGTCCTGAAATATTTTCATTACGCCCCTACCCATACCCATTCCAAATTCGCAGTATGCTCCTACCAGATAACCGCTGAATACCACCACAAAAAAAATCCATGTGCCTTCCGGTACTGTGCATGGCGTCGGGCATCTACGGTGACCACTTCTCTCTCTCTCTCTCTTTCTCTCTCTCTCTCTCTCTCTCTCTCTCTCTCTCTCTCTCTCTCTCTCTCTCTCTCTCTC